TTATTATTATTATTATTATTATTATTATTATTATTATTATTATTATTATTATTATTATTATTATTATTATTATTATTTTGTACAAAGTTTCTCAAATATCCGCGACGGATGAGCTCCTCAATCTCATCGCGGAGATTTTTACAACTCTCGGTGCTATGACCGTGATCTCTATGAAAACTACAATATAGTTTCTTATTTCTCTCATTGGGATTTTCCCTCAAACAAGATTGCCACTTCACACACGGGGCGTCCTTGATCGCCATCAGGATTTCGGCCCGCTTCACATTTAGTGGGGTGTAATCAGTTCGGTCCACTACAGGAGCTCGGAACGACTGACCTGGCTTTGCCCCCCGAGCTGCATCCTTTTTCTTTTAGCTGTCCCATTGATTGGAAGGCTCTCCTTCCCTCTTCCTCTTTTCGGGCGCGCCCTCACCCTTCTGTTTGATCTCCTCTTCGGTGGCTATGAACCTGTCCGCGAGCTTAAGAAACTTGGTTATGGTCGCTGGTTGGTTGACGACCATGTGCCATTTGAACTCTTTGAGTGTCACGCCTTTCTTGGCTACTATAAGGCGCACGGCGGGGTCCAGGTGCAGTATCTGCATACAAGCATCGTTGAACCGCTTGATGTAGCCCCGGATGGACTCTCCCTCTTTCTACACTATGTTGAGGAGGCTTTCTTCGGTCCGCGGACACCGCTTGCTGATAATGAAGTGGGACGTGAAGGTTTGTGCGAATTGCGTCCAACTCCTTATTGATCCGGGCGCCAGGTTCCGGTACCATGTGTGGGTTGCTCCCCTAAAAGTGGTGGAGAAGGCCACGCACATGCACGACTCACTGGCTCTTGCCAGGTGCATCTGCGACTGGAAGGCATCTACGTGGTCACTCGGGTCGAACGACCCGTCGTACTTGTCAAGAAGGGGGAGCTTGAAGTCTTCAGGCATCGGGACTGCCAGGAGCTCGGGAGATAGGGGGATTGAACTGAAAGGAGGGGAGCTTTGACTTCGGCCGAGCTTACCTCTTCTTTGCCCCCGAGCTCGGGCATATCGCAGGTGACAAATTGGCGAGCTCGGCGGCGGCGTCTCTGCTTCTTGGTGGGCTCGGCGTTTGTGCTGCTCACCTCTGTGCTGTCCGGGATGGTGTGTGCGAGAAGTAGCTCGGGTTGCTGGTGATGACTACGGGCAGAGGGATCCATCTTAGAGCCTGCGGCCAGAACCTCGAACCGGTTCTCTAGGAACAAGGTATCGGGCTTGGAGGACTAAGGCGACGTGGATTTGGCAAGCTGAAGCCCTTCCAACCTAACTGCCCGTGGCGAGGCCGGAGTGGCTGGTCTTTCTTGTCTGCCGCGGGAAGAGGCCTAGCTCCTTAGAGGGTTCTGGGGGGCCTCTCCTTGGCAAGAAAGGTGCTCCTCCTGACGGCGAGACTTTGCTCGCTGTGAGGCTGGGTGCCAAGGAGGGAGCTATGATTGCTGAATCTAAGGTTGAGACAGCTAGGGAAATTGTTGCTGATACTGATATTAGGAGACCTGGTGTAGCATATGTTGCTGATAGAGTTGAAACTGTTGGAACTGCTACATTTGGGCTTGCATGGCTTGCATGCGCTGCATCAAGTCTTCCAATTGGTTCGGGCTGGTCGCCGGGGGCACGACCGAGGGTTCGGTGAAGGTTGCTCCGACGGTAGTAGGGAGCAGAGCAACGACTGGTGCCCCTGTAAGAGGCACGTTCAAACTGGGGATCCCGTCAGTTGAGAGGGGGACGGTAAACTGTCCGATGCAGACATTAGGAAGCTGGGGCTGTTCCCTAGAGTTATCCATCTTCGTGCTTCGTCCGATGTTGCTAGAGGAAGCCATGAATGTTGAGTTTTTTGAAGAGTAAAGAGATGCGAAAGTTTAGAGAAAGGCTTTTCGAAGCGTTTCCCATAAACGACGCCAATTGATGGTGCGCAATCCGGTCACTCCTAGCTGGCACTTGCGTGGCTCCTGAGAGGTACCTGAGATGAGGAAGAAGAAGAATCCCCGGGGGAGTTCGCCCGGCGGGAACGCTCCAACGATTACGTCAGTATTCTGAGCAAGAAGCAAAAGAGAAGATAAGAGCTAAGAGTGAGGTAGTGCAAGAGATTTCAAGATACCCCTGTTCTCTGATAATAGGCTCCTTATAACAAAACTTCGTTGCATCAGGCCCACTGGCCTCTAATAGGGCGGGTACAACCGCCACTGTCAACCTGCCGCAGCCGTTACAGACAGGGCTGAGGTGGCGCGCGCGGGATCGTCACTGCAGTGTACATGCTTGTCAGGTACACGACACCTTCTAGAGGTGGCAGGCACGACACTAGCTGACAGGGGACATGGCGGCTGTCCCAGATTTGTCAGGTACGATGGTCGAGCAAGAAGCCTTCCTGTGGTATACTGAACCACCCTTCCACGAATTACCTTACGCCGGGCTGTCCCTTGAGCGACAAGTTGCTTGTAGCAAGTTATGCCGAGCTGGATGACTCGAGGTGTCTATACCTCGGGGTGGCCAGAGATGGATCGGTGCGTTCCTGTCTAGGAATGGCCCGAGGTCCATTGGGAGGAGCTTGGTCATCAAGAGAGGTCAGGGTACCCCGAAGTGCCTTAACCCCGAGAAGGAGGTGCGGGTAAGGCGGCTTCCGGCGAGTAGTTTATCCGCCCAGTCGTCGAGTTGAACTCGGTGGGACCTTCCCTCCGAGTTGCAGCTGCATCTGTTGTGCTGTCACGCTGAGTCACTGTTTGAGCAAGGTCATGCTCACGTGTACCCGTGCTGTGAGGTCGGGCCAAATCACCCTCCATCAAAAAGTTTGGGCTTTTTTTTGTTTTTTGGGTTGGGCCCAAGCCTATCCCTTAGGTAGTTAAAATCAAGCTTGATTATATACATAGAATCATAAATACATATATAGAGTGTATTTGCATACATGCATGTATATATAATTATACACATACATTTTATGTCAAATTTTGTCATGGGGTTAATTAATAAACCTAAGTCAAAGACTAACCTAAGTACATCAACTTTTAATGCAAGTTGGAGGGCCTAAGTTGAACAAATTAGGCTTTACTTTGGTATGGAGCCTTAGGTCTAATGCATAGGGTTGTCAATGGGTCGGGTCTGGGTTAGGTAGGTATAGTTAGAATTGAAACCAACCCGACATGAAATACTAAGGACCGAGAACCAAACCAAACCTGATAAGGTCTATAATTTTTAGACCTAGAACCGAACTGATTGGTTCTCAAGACAATCGGATCTAATCCAATGGACTCGTTTATAATAAACCTACTAAAAATATTATATATATATATATATATATATATTAATTTATGTATATAGCTCGAGTCGAATCTGAAGCAGTTTAGGACTGTGTGGAACCGGTTCCTAACCGATAATAATTGGGGCAATATATCAAGACCCATAACTGATCCATCAGTCTGGTTCCTAGAACTAGAACCGACCCAATTGGTTTAGGTTTGCCTTGTCAAACTTGGCCCTTTAATAGTCCTACCAATGCATAGGGTTGGGCTTGGGCTAAGATTAAATTCAGCCCAATCTACTTGACTTGAACCATAATGTTCCAATCGTTTGGGTAAGTGAGTTAACCAACGATGTCATAATTAATAATATATATATATATAGAAACATAAAAAAGTTACAAAAATACATAAAAATTATAGAAATTTTGAGATATCTATGATATTATAAACTTTATCATATCAAATAAAAATAAGTGTGATAAACAATAATTAATTTTAGAATCAATTATGTAGATGGAATAAAAAATTTTAAAGTTACCCAAAAATGAGATTGCTTTTTCTTCAAGTCAAATAGGCTAGCACATGGTGTCATAATTATATAATAAAAACTCAAATAATAGATAGAAATAAAAAATATAGAAAACACAAAAAATTGTCTATAAGATTTGTACACATCTCTAATATCATATATTTATTATATTAAATAAAAATAAATATGATAGATAAGAAGTAATTTTAATAACAATAAGAATAAAATGTAAAATCTAAATACACTAATACATCATACTTTTATTATTTATATAATAAACATATTAAAATTATTAGTATTATCTAAAATTACTACGTACAAACCCTAAAGTTGCATTAATTCATGGGTTCCATCTCTTTGTCTGTAGATTGAAAGAAAACCAACAATTGCATGAATTCATTGCTTATTATCATTTATTTTTTTTCCCATTTTTATGTGCATTGCTCTTTGTTATGGACTTCAGGTTTCTAAGTCTCAAGACAGACTACTCGTTGGAAATAAGAAATTGTTTGGGCCTATTACACTTGAAGCTTGGCAATTTATGTAAGAGGCCTCAATTCCAAGCCCAGGTTCTGGACGGAGGGCCTCAACCGTTTCAAGCTCTGGCCCAGTCTGATGGATATCGCAATCGGCAAATCCCCTTCCTTCTGAGAGGTGGCCTTTTCTCTTCAACCCATCGCCACCCACCACCGCCACTCACTGCCGGTTTAGAAGAATGGGAGAAGAAAAGGCAAGATAGAGATCGAAGAGGTAGGTATGTTCTTTGTTTTTTCTTGCAAATTATTTGTTTCTCTTGTTCATAGCAAAACCCTAAGTCCTTAATCTCTGCGACTTGGCGTTCGACTAACTGGTAGGGCTACAAGAGAGAGAGATTCACATCGCCTGTTCTTCACGTGGCTATTTAGAAATTGAACGGCAGGACGTCCAAAGGCTCCAGGCTCCAATTTGTCTGTCGCCTATAATCTCGATTATAGTCATGTAAGAAAGATAAAAAGTTTCTTATTGTTCTTCTTTATGATTTCCTTCTGAAGCTATGTACTCTGCATAAAAGTTTTTAAAAAGGACCAGGTATCAGACCCTAAAATGCGTCGGCCCCAATAAAACCAACCATTTAGCCTTAAAGGTTTTGGTGCGTTTTCTCTCTCCACTAACGCGCAAAGAGAGTTGGTACCGGTTGAATCCAGTTTAACTTCTTGGTTTGGTTTTCAAGATATATCTCTATCTCTGTGTTCCTTTGATTTTAAACCACTTTCTTGCCTTCGATTGGTAGAGAGAAGTATATGGAACTTAAATATAAATCTTATGGTCATCTTTTGTAGTCTTCTTGGAATTCATCCATCAAGGTGTGAGCCCACAATTCCTAATGCAAACAAAGAGTCTGGCTACTCTTAAGCACTAGGTAAATCATCCCAAAGCACTTCTACGAGGATAAACCACAGTACTGCAAGAGCATACCCTCTAGTCACAATTGAGTCAGTATCCTAAATGAATAGTCTTCTATGTTGGTGTATGAGGTTGTCTGTCCAGTTAAGCAAAATTACCTTCATTCTCCAGCTTGGGAAAAAGGAAAATTAGTAATATGTATGGTCTCAGAATTTGTTTATGAGATAGTTGTTTGACTGGATCTGGTTGAATTAGTATTCTTGTTCTCTTAATTGTTCTTTTATTTCTCTGGTAAATATAATTTTCATTTATAAGATGATTTGCTTACTCTGTAGTTGTTACATAAGCACCCTGTAGCACATCATGCAAAAAGTATGAGTAAGAACCCAGGCCTGGGGAAATTATATTGAAGTATGCAAGAGGCCTACCACTATTGCAGAGTTCCATACCCCTTTGATCCATCAGGGAGCTTCAGCTCAAATATGACAGTTAACTGCCCAGATATTGAGGTCTACAATAAAATGGGCAAGGTTATTTGTTGTAATTTAATGTAATGTGGTTCCTTAGATTAGATCTAAGATATAGATAACCTCAGACTTGTATATGTATATCTAAAATCGGTTAACAACTTAACATAGATAAACACTTCTCCCAAATTTTGTAGCTGTTCTCATGATTGTTTAACCTACTAGTTCTGCTTTGGACAAAATACTTACACCTCCCCCGAGGTTTCTCATAAATGCATACACCTCCCCTCTGGTTTCTGACAGGACTTAAATCTCCCCTGTTAGAATGAGATGCCATTATATTTGACAGAATTGATGAACTCAAGCATCTGTGTCATTTGATGCAGACACCTTGTGACCTCGGTTATCACCATTTTTTGTATTGATAAAAAATAAAAAATGCAAAATATGAATTATACCAGTAGAATTTTGGGGGGAAGTTGATGAATCCTCACTAGTGACCAGGATTGAATCAAAGGATTATTCATTGCATTCACCTTCCTTGCTTGATACACCCCCCCCCCCCCAAAAAAAAAAAAAAAAAAACAGAAAAAAACTGATCCCCCTTGTATTCATGTTTCCTTTCTTTATGTGTGTATCAACTCTTCTATAAGATATTAAGAGAAATTTATCAACGGTCCACCATTGGAAGGATGAGGTACATGGTTCTAACTAGCAGCAGTCCTTAAAGGTTATGCCTCCAGATTAGAGAAGTGTCAAATCTAAGTTCCATTTGGATCGTAGATCAGCCAATTCTTTAGACAGCAACTTTGGCAGATGAGAGTTCCTTTCTTTCATTATCTTTTCCTTTTTACTTTGGGGTTGGGGAGTAGCATACCAATGTTAGACCTGATATATACCCAACACAACATAGGCACTGCATGACCACTTCCACATATAGTATATAGCATTAACAATTTTAAAATATATAATATATAAAATTATATGTTTCACAAATCATACTACAAAAAAAGAGGTGTATATGTTAGAAGTTTAAGTCTTGAGAAATGGCCCTTCAAAGTGTGATATAAGTGTGTTATACTCTTAGTCTTACCCATATCCATGTCCCAGATTTTAGGAAATGAAGAGTTGTAACCTTATTTCTTATAATGTGTTTGTCAATATCTGTATCTGGGCATCATGGCTTGGGGAGTCTTGAGACTAAGCTTCTTTGTGGCCATTCCTTTGCCCAGTTGAGGACATACATTTTGTGTATCGTTGTACAGTGGATCAATTTGGGCATTTAATAGCATGAAGTTGTCTTTTGTGATGAGTTTTGATGGCTTTAGGCTTCTTTATGCTTTTATACTTCAGTGCAGTACTATATTTTTTTTGCTGACAAAAGAAAATTATAGAAATAATTAGTAGATAATAGAAAGCAAAAGAGTGGAGATGGAGGGAAATTCAGGTGGTTAATTATTTGTTGGCTGGACCCTTGATAATGCAGTATGCCCTGGTTTTGCAGTGTCATGTCATAGAAGCTAGAGTCTCGAATTGTTGTCCTCTAGAGATTTAAAGATTGAGGTAGACTATTAACTGGTTAAATATTATTTGTTGGATGCTTGATGGTTCAGTAGGCACCCCGTTCTTCTGCTATCACATCAGAGAATCTAGAGCATTGACCACTGCCCTCTAGAATGAACAACTTGCTTAGATGGATTTCAAATTTAGTGTATTCTTTGGTGGTTAGCTTGGCCAGAAGCAGGGTTGAAAGGTCTTTGTTATATTATGGTTCTTCTATATTGGGCTAATTCTCTTTTGGTTCATCTATCTCCCCATCCACCCCAACCTAAAAAAGAAAAGAACACATGTTCCTATTCTCATATCAGCTTTTGTTTGTTTACATGGTAGTAGATAAAGAACTGGCTTCAAAAAATAAAAAATAAAAAATAAAAGATAAAGAACCGGTCATAGTCTAGTTGTGTGTGGTCTTAGATTGGTAACCATTTTTAAATTTTAAATTGTTTACATGTATGTGCAGGCCAATGCTGCTGCTTTGAGTTGCAGGACCTTTTTTGTTTATGGGCACAAATTCATATTAGTCACAACAGATTTGCATTGGCAATATGGTCAGGTTCATTCTTTATGATTTATTTTGTCAGTAATATTTCTTTTTTTGTTTTCCTTTTCTTTAATGTACTTCCAAAAGATATTTTCTCCCGATGAAGAAACATGGTATGACATTCATTTTTGCATTCTTCATTCATGCTTGACTTCTTTCCTTTTCCTCTTATCGGAGGAAAGAGAGACAAAAATGCATTAATCTGGCTTTTGTTTTGCCTTTTGGGAATTTAATGTGGATAGCAGTGTTGGAGTTGCTGATTTCTTTAGCCTCTTTAGATCACAAACTAACTTACAATGTCCCGGTTGCTTCTAATAGTCTATTGAAGCATACAAACTCTCAAGTGACTTGTGCCTTGACATTCTAATACAGTCCCATGAACTATAAAATGGAACTCTCTTAATTTTTTTTCTCTTATAGCCAATGTTTATTGGACTCCAACAATGGCTTGAATTCTTGTAAATATCTGAATGCAGGATTCCAATGGCCTTGTTGACCAGAGGTGCGAACATAGGCTATACATCGGTAACCTTGATCAGAGAATAACAGAGTAAGATTAGTACTTGAGCTATTTCAGTTGTCGTTTGGCATCCATACCTGTGAATGACTGAAATTAGCATTGTTTACTTCCAGGTCTTTGCTGATCAAGATGTTTTCTCCTTTTGGGAAAATTGTTTCTGAGGACTTCTTGTGGCACACTCGTGGTCCAAAACGTGGGGAACCGCGTGGTTTTGCTTTTGTCCAGTTTAGTACCAGAGAGGTAAGTTGCCTGTACAGAGTGCTTTTTTATTTTTATTTTTAATTTTTGGCAATTCCTTATTTCTTCTATTGAAGTGAGCATGTAGGAAGCTCAACTGGCCAAGGACAAGATGAATGGAAGGTTGGCTTGTGGGCGCCCTCTGGTTGTTAGATTTGCTAGTGAGAAGCAGTTGGTAGAAGCAGCAGCACATCCTCCTAAAGCAGTTGGTGAGGGAAACAAATCAAGCATTGCAGGCAGCTCCTTGGGGCAAATGAGTCGTACTGCTAAGATAGCTGCAATAAAGAATAAACTGAAAGCCATGGAAGAAGAGAGCTCTAGCATGAAGAAACCGAGGCAAGCTGATGGCTTCATTTAGTGGTCTTGGTCAGTCGTCTATCAAATGCTGACAGGAAAAGATACAGAATGGCAGTTACAGGAGTTTCTTCAAATTTGCCAAAGACCCGTTACAAGATACTTTCATGGTCTGGGATTTGTGAGATCCCAGTAAGGATGCTGAACTTGTAAATTGCTTCTTCACTAACTGCTCTGCTGGCGGATTTGAAGTGAAATGGTCTTGAAAAAAATGGGAAGAATGAAATTTGTATGGTGAATTGGTGACAACCTTTTGGTGTTCTTGTTACACGAGGAACATTTGGACTCCTAGCACATTGGACTACAATTTTTGGGTTCATATGTCAATAATATGGTTATTTATGACATTTTTTTATAAGCGATTATTTATGACATTTGATATACAACCGTAATGTGGATGCACATGAGTTGCAGGAGAAAATACTTGGCAAATAAATAAATAAATGCTTCTACTGTTCTAACAGCTTATGTTGTATCAAAAACATCATCTGTCTTAATGTGCCTAACTCACTTGTCGTCAAAAGGGAAAATTGCATTTATTTTTTAATTAAAACACAAACTGTAAATTGCATTTACAGTTTTACTCTGCCATCTTAATCTTAGGTGGTATTTTCCAACGTGCTTAAAGTGTCAAATTGGCCAAACGCCTCATGATTTTATTGGTATTATCATTATGCAGTCATTTTTGACAATTGAAAAAATAAATCATACGCATTATTGGCAAACACCCCCCTTAGTGGTTATGCGGGTGTTCTATTTTGACAAGACACAGGAGGTTAGCATCTTTGTCTTTCAAACCAAAAACAGCCTTAGGGAGAGTTTGACCTCTTTTCAATCAACTCCCAAATTTCTTTCACTTCAGTCCCTAATCTTTGTCTTTCATTTTCTCTCTTCTTGTTAACTGAGATGCCCAACCTAAGTAGACCCATTTTATCTCCTGATTTTCAGTTTCTGCCAAGGCCCAGCCCAGGTCTGTGAGCTTTCTGGGCTAGGCTTGGACACAAAGCCTAGGTGGAGACCTGGAAATTTGCATGGATCGAGTTAAGAATGACCACTTCTCCAATTCTTATAATAAGTCCAGGAAATGAATAGTGCCGAATATGACCAGTTGAGTCTCCTCTTGCATGCTCTTTAACTCTTTTTACTACCCTCCCTTTGTTTGGAGTGTAATTTCATTTGCTCTAGTAAAATGCATGAGAATGCAAATGAGAAGCATGCATATTCTGGTTCGCTTTTGTTTGAGATTTTGTTTTAGGTTTTATTTCAATTCATCAAAGCAAATGAGCAAAATAGGGAAAAAAACTAAAACAAAGATAAATCACTATGCACACTAATCATTTGCACTCCCATATTTTTGAATCAATGCAAATGAAATTGCACTACAATCAAATGAGACCCTAACAATTTAATGAGGAAACAAACGCATTTTGCTTGCATTGAGTAAATACAATGACCCACTACCTCTATATGAACAGTTGAACACATTAACTGAGTTTTGATTGATAAAAAATTTAAGGCCTCGTTAGTTAGTGCTTATTTGGGCAAGCATGCTTCCAGCATTCTTGTACGCTAACACTTACTCAGGTAAAGAGAGGTAATTAGAGGGAGAGAGCACCTACCAACACCGTATAGTTCATAGGTAACTTACTTACCTACGTTCAGGAAGGTATCAATTATCTGGGCAACTGGTACTCTCCGGTATCCAAATTTTCCATGGGACCCAATATAGTGGAAAATGAACAAGGGTATTGTGGTCAACTTAACACCCCCGGGGGGCCTAGTGGGACCCAGTGTCACAATGGGAAATGCATAACAATACAAGGGAGGGAGGGTTGTGTGGTCACAAATTCACTTCATATCATATAGAAGTAACAGTGTTCCACTTGCTACCTTCACGGTATCGACATGGCTTGCTTGCTAAACAAAATAACAAAATGAAGCATCTGCCTTCAACTCAAAAGGACTAAGCATCTATTTACTTCCATGGCTCCATCATCTCCGTTTGAACCATATGTTAGCCCAAATCTTCCGAAAGCACAAAAGTGTGCAAACATGTTGAGAGCATGGCATCCAGCTGCATATTGGAAACATCTCCTGTAATTATATGTCCCCCATGCCATGCTCTTAGTGTGTTCAACGCTTTTAGCTTTCAGCATCAAAATTTGGTTAGGCACAGCATGTAAACCAAACAGTCATGCATCTCATTTTGATAACTGTATCAGGATTGAACTCAGAATTTCCCTTAGGCTGTGTTTGGTTGCATGCAAATAAATTTGCATTAATGCAAAACTATGGCAATGCAAATTATTTGAATGTGAATTCTCACTTATTTTTGTTTCAAGTTTTAACTTATTTTGTTTGATTGCAGTACAAATGGAATAAATTAAGACATGAAGCAAAATAAAGTAAAATCCAAAACAAAATTAGACAAGAATTTGCATTTTTTTTTCATTTGTACTCCCATACATTTGTACTAGTGCAAATAAAATTGCACTGCAACCAAACACAGCCTTAGTGTCTTTGTAAATCATGATTTGGACACATCCCATTTTCTGCAAGGGGCAAAAGTCCTAATTAATACTTAAAAAAGTACTTACTTTAAGAGAAAATTCTTTTACATATTAGTGTTTGAAAAATCTATGTTACATCTATTATACTGTGTACATAATGATAAGTCTATCTTGTTAAACTTGAAAACCAATGACAAGTAAGTAGACTTTAACGTAATTAGTTGAGACCTAGACTCAATTATAACTAATATTAATGAATGCACTATAATTGAACCCTACTATTTAATATATTACATTAGCCACTATTCATTAATAACAAAAAAAAAAATTGTTATAATGGGATCTATCCACCCTTAGATATAACTAAGTAACAAACTTCCAAATTAGATTAAGAAATACAAGTAATCACATAGAAGGCATATTATGCCATCTAGTTTGACTATCGGCACTCAAACCTTTGCTTTTCAACTTTCACCCTTAAATTTCTCCAAAGATAAAGGTGAAGAAAAGAGAACCCTTTATTTTTGTAATGGGATTAATTCAATAGACTTGTAACCATTACAACTCTAAAGTCCAGCTAAAGGAACCAAAGCTTTAAAAGTCTACAAAATGTGTGAAGAAGTCAGAGATATCAATTAAGAATCATTCAAGAAAACTGATGAATTGATGACGTGGTGTGATTGCATGAAGTCAAATCATCATGTTTAAAATGTATCTAATGGGGTTGTTGAGTACCTAACTCATTTCTCACCTATTTTCTTTGCCGCCGATTTCATCAACTGTGAGATCAAGTTTTTGTACTTATTAAATGCTAGCCCTGTGGCCTGTGCAATTCCAAAGTGATCAATTGGTTTGAGAAAAGAAAAGGTGACGAGAGGCGAAAGAAATGCATGAAGGAAAAGGTTGGAATCTACTTAGCAATGATGAACCAACATACATAGAATAAGTCCAATATGTCATGTTCCAAAACCTGTTTCCATTTAAGCCCCTGAAAAGCCACTTCAGCACTCAAAGAAAAAAAAAACAATGAATAGATTGAAATCCTTGTATCCATTTGGGAGGGCTTTAATGCAGCAATTTTTGGTTTGTAAGATGGGGTGAGTATAGTAATATTTGATGAAAAATATGAAAAGCTTAGATATGATATGATTCAACCAAAAGAACCCGTTTGGGAGGGCTTCTGTGGTGCATTGACTGAACCGCTTCCAAGAAGCTATTTATGATAGTTTTATCAGAAAGTTGATTTTTTCACTCATGTAAGTCATCTTTAGAATTACCGAATTTTTACCAAACATGATTTATGACTTTCTGAGATTTTTTGACTCATAAAACACTAGAAGACACTATGCGAAACCCCTCCCAAACGGGCACAAAAAAAACTTTTCAATAGAGCTTCTTCTAGTAGTTCGATCAAAGCAAATCAGTGAAAGCAGGTCAATCAAAGCTTGGGCCCTCTCAGCATGTCCTCTATATCTAGAGAGGGTGTTTGGTTCCGTTTACATTTATTGATTAGACGTTTTGTACTTGTGTGACTATAAAACTGAGAAAAGCAATTAACTAGGGCATTATGACACATAGGTACCATTAGGCACCACATCAGTAAAGTGCCAATAAATGCCTACCTGTTTCAAGAAATTCCAAAACGAAGCTTCCTAAAATGAGAGAGGCGCACAGAAATCGATGTTTGCAAACATCGATACATACGGATGCAATTAATAAGGCCTTTGTTGATGGGGTGCCTATGTGGCAGCATTTACTCAATAAGCATAAATGGAACCAAACACATACAAAGTTAACTATATAACATTCATGTGGATGAACTTCTAGTAAAGTTTATCTTGTAAATCATAACTTAGTTCTAGCTTGTGAAATAATAAAAAATCATTAACCAATAGGGCTATCAAACTTTTGTCTTATCAAACTTCTAATTAGTGATAAAAAGTTAATGAATTATGATGAGGGCAGATTTGGACCTCCAGTGAAATTGTGACACGTGACACCTCGTGACAACTAGGCGACACCTAGGCAACAACTTACCAAGTTGGTGTCCCACTCGGGCACCGGCTCGGCGCACGGTCTGCACGTGGCCTGCGCACTGCCTGGCGCATGGCCTGCACGCGGCCTACGCACTGCCTGGTGCGGCCTGCGCGACCTGGCCGACCTGGATCAGCCTGGCACATGATCGGACCTGGCCGACCTAGCCGACCTGGATTAGTCCAACACATGATCCGACCTGGCCAACCTAGCCGACCTGGATCAGCCTGGCACACGACCCGACCTAGCCGACTTGGCAACCCATAAGACATGCCCATCGATATCAAGGAGCTCGGTAGCTCACCAAAGAGCTCGCCAAGGAGCTAGGCAGCTCGCCACCAAGGAGCCAAGCAGCTCGGCAGAGCTCGCCACAAGCAGCTCGGCATAGCTCCCCCGGGCAGCTCACCACTTGTAGGGTAGCTCGGTACAGAAGAGCAGTTTGGCGTATCGCAGGAAGATTTCCTACCTGACAATCGTACCTAACAGATCTAGAGACTTGCCCACGTCTCTCGCCAGGAGGCACCTTGCCTGGAAGAGTCATACTCTGCAACAGTTGCCTAAGCCCACCGCCTCAGCTCTAATAGCGACGACTGCAGCAGAGAGACGAAGACAGTTATGCCTGACTTGACAGAGGCAGTCATGCCTGATTTGACAGGACACCGCTATATAAGGACTCCAACCCCCAAAGGCAAGGGGAGAGAATGAAAAAATGGAGGTAATCCCTGCTCTCTAACTCTCTCATTCCTCTAATCCCCGGAGCTTCTCTTCTCCTTCCGTTTCAGGTCCCTGCCACTCAGTTCAGAGGCAAGATCATTGACAGCTAAGATCGG